GAACGTTGGTTTCCTCCGTCACTGAAGCAAGCAAGCCTCATGTTCGCTTTAAGCTGCCTGGCTGCCGGCCGCCATCTTGGCTGGCAGTTAATTTGCATATCTCCCTGATTAGCCAATGGGAAGGTTAGCGGTCATATGCCAATTACCATGTTTCTCTTTTATTAGATAGGATGAGATTAACATTCCTTCATATACAGAGTATCCCCCAAAATGTCTACACACTTTGAGTGACTATAAATTCAGTATTTATTAACATACAATTAATAAAATACATTTTCAAAATTTTAAAAACATCTGTAAAAATGAATATATTTTTTTTGTCAGTGCCTGTTTTCAAACTGATGACCATTCTGGTCCAGGCACTGTTGATAAAGTGGAGCAATGGAATAGAAAACATCAAGAATAATTTCCTTCAGTATTTGTGCATCTTCAATTCATCTACTGTTACCAATTTTGTACCATAAATTTTATCTTTTATGTATCCCCATAAAAAGTCTAGTGGCACTTTAGGATACATTTTCTTTGTTCAAAGCTTAGTCTGGCTTCACCTATTATTTCAAGTCAGTTAAACCTAAAAAGGAGCGAAAATTAACTGAGTTATCAGCTGTTAAAATATATACAATTTTTGGGACATCCTATATTTATTATATTCTGGACACTAAGGAGGTTACAAATAGTGAACAAGAAAAGTTTCTGACTTCAGTCTAATGGGGGAGTCTCACCCTTAAACAGGTAACTCCAATATCTACACCAGGGGTCCTCAAACTTTTTAAACAGGGGGGCAGTTCACTGTCCCTCAGACCGTTGGAGGGCCGGACTATAGTTTAAAAAAAAACTATGAACAAATTCCTATGCGCACTGCACATATCTTATTTTGAAGTAAAAAAACAAAATGGGAACAAATACAATATTTGTATTTGCATGTGGCCTGCGGGCCATAGTTTGAGGACCCCTGATCTACACTAATAAAAGAGAAAGATGCAAATTACCATACCTTTGCAACACCCACCAGCCAATCAGGAGTGAATATGCGAATTAACCCAACAAAGATGGATTGTTTATCTTCCTTTTGCTAAGTTGTATGAGTTCCCTGTAAATGTTGGAGATTAGGCCTTTATAGGAGATAAAACATTGGCAAATATATCCTCCCATGCAGAGGGCTTTCTTGTTGTTTTGTTGATGGTTTCTTTGCTGTGCAGAAGCTTTCTAGTTTGCTGTAGTCCCATTTGTTTATTTTTTCCTTTGTTTGCCTCATACTAGAAGATATATTGGC